CTTCACAATTCTTCGCAATTCTTGACATTTCTTCACAGATCCTCCCGTCCTTGCTTGATGTTCCCATTCTTCAGATGTCTTCACCATTCCCCAAGAGACAACTCTTCACAGTTGTTGGCATCTCTCTACATCTCTTCACATCTCTCTGCAATTTGTCACTTTTCTTCGCGCCATTTCTTCGCCATTCCCCAAGTGATAGCTCTTTACCATTCGCATTTGTTCACAGCTCTTCACAATTCTTTACATCTCACATCTCTTCACAACTCTTCGCACATTTTTCCCATACTTACTTGATGTTCCCTCACATTTCTTCACCACTCCCCAAGTGACAACTCTTTAAAGTTTGCATTTCTTTGCATTTCTTCACATCTCTGAACATCTCTTCACATCTCGTCACAATTCTTCGCACACTTTTTTTTCTTGATGTTCCCATTCTTTACATTTCTTCAGCATTCCCGAAATGACAACCCTTCACAACCAAATACAATTCGCATCTCCAAAAAAATATTCACGTGTCTTCACACAACCCCTCCCACGCTTGCTTGATGTTCCGATTCACATTTCTTCACACTGGTATTGGGTTGGATCTTTAGGCTTTAACTTTTTGGATTCCCCTCATATCTCCTTTTAACAATCAACAAGTTCACGGGATCTAAGTTCAATCGAATCGATTTCCATTTGGGTATGGCTCAAAATGAATGAGCTGGCGGGTTGTTGTCTTTGGTTCCATTTACCTTTTGGTGCCATTTTGGTACCGCTTTTTTGAGCCACAGCTAGAATCTGATACAGCGAAAACAGGTTTAGCTAAAAGCTTTTACTCAAAGAGTAGCAAAAAGAAGTGGTGAAAGAGTAGCTAAAAGAATAGCTAAAAGCTTTTACTTAAATAATAATTAAAAGAAGTGCTAAAAGAGTAGACAAAAGAATAGCTAAAAGCTTTTACTCAAAGAGTAGCTAAAAGAAGTGGTAAAAGAGTAGCTAAAAGAATAGCTAAAAGCTTTTACTCAAATAATAATTAAAAGAAGTGCTAAAAG